GTTCAGCAGCGGATTGGGCGGAGTGCTGCTGGGCGGGTGTGTGGCCTTCCAATAGGCTTCCAAGTACTCGGCCAAGTGCTCGCAGGCATCCTCCAGTTGATTCTCATCCAGGATGATGTCAAACATCTCCTGTGGAGGTGGGGTTAAGGGCAGGGCTGGGATGAGCTGGGCATGACCAAGGGGTGAGGGTGTGGCCTGGGGCAGTGGGTGGAGTCAAGGGGTTGAAGGACAAAGTTAAAAAGAAACCTCTGGATGTCCAGGAAGAGGAGGGCTCTTAGACATATAAATCGATAGAACTACAAGAGGTCTTGGTACCCCGATACTCCAACTCCCTCATTCTAAATATAAGGCAACCAAGGCGTGGAGAGGGGCTTAACTCCCCACAGAGAAGTGGTGCTTCTGGGACTTGAACATCCAGCAGGCTTTTCCCCAAAAACCCGCCTGCATCTCTGGACCCCGCCCAGGCGTTCCCAGTCACTCTCTCACGCAGGCCAGAGAACACATGGAGAACCCAAACGTCGCCCCTTCCCTTCCCTTGGGTCTGAGCACTCACGGGGGGACACTGCGCGAGCTTCTCCGAGGCTGCTATCTGCACATTGAGGTGTTTGGACTGAGACTTCCCTCGAGACTTGATGAGCCTCTGAAGAACCTGGTTTGTGGGGGGAGAAGAGGAGCTAGAGGGACCCTGCAATGCACCAAGCCGGAGAGGCAGGTCCTGGCTGGAGCCAGTGTGGAGAGACAGTATCGGGGCCAGGGGATGTTCCATGACTCTCAGCCCTGGCCGCCTCTTCAGAAATGACCTCACCAGTCCTGTGTCCATCCTACACAGTGCTCAGGCTCTCTCCTGGGTCTCATGCCAGCCTATCCTGGGAAGTTCCAGCAGTGGCTGTAATGAAGGGCAGTGATTCTCCTTCCCAACCCCTGTAATCTTTATAGGCTTCATTCTCTGGGCCAACTTCCCCTCCACGTTAACAGCAGTAGCCATCCTTTATAGGGACATGTGCTATGTACTGGCACTATTCTGTGCTTTTTGCACAATCAGTTCATTTAGTCCTGACAATAATGCCATTATGCAGCCACTATTATTATTCTCATCTCAATGACAACAGTAATAATGATGATAATAGCTACACGTAAAGCTACAACCTTAACTAAGTGATCAAAGTTAACAGCACCAATGATACAACAAACCGACATCCTGTGCTTCCTGATGCGACGCACTCAGAAGGACACATCGCTTTGGTGATGTTCCTACCTGAAATGTAAAACCTAAATCTAGTCATGGGGAAACATCAGACAAACCCACACAGAGGAACAATCTACAAAATAAGTGATCTGTACTCTTAAAAAATGTCAGTGTATGGGACTTCCCTGGTGGCTCAGTGGTTGAGAGTCCGCCTGCCGATGCAGGGGACACGGGTTCGTGCCCCGGTCTGGGAAGATCCCACATGCCGCGGAGCGGCTGGGCCCGTGAGCCATGGCCGCTGAGCCTGCGTGTCCGTAGCCTGTGCTCCGCAACGGGAGAGGCCACAACAGTGAGAGGCCCGCGTACCGCAAAAAAAAGAAAAAATAAATGTCAGTGTCATGAAAATCCAAGAAAGGCTGAGGAAATTTTTCAGCTTAAAGACTATAAAGAGATATAACAACTAAATGCAACACATGATCCTGGATTGAAGGGGAAATTGCTATAAGGGGCATTATTGGGACAACTGGTGAAAACTGAAGATGGACAGTATTTTAGATAAGATTTCTTAAATTTGACAATTGTACTGTGGTTATGTAAGTTAATATCCTTGTTCTTAAGAAATACATGTTGAAATATTTAGGGATAAAGGCATACAATACCTACAACTTACTCTCTAGTATTTCAGGAAAAAGGATACACATATATAAGCGCACATATACATAATACATACATACATAAAGTAGTGGCAAAATATTCAAAATTAGTGAGTCTGAAAAAAATTAAATTGTATACTTTAAATGGCTGAATTGAATGGCATGTGAATTTTATTTCAATAAAGCTGTTAAAAAAGTAGTGAATGTGAGTGAAGTGTACTCAAAGATAGTCCTACTATTCTTACAACTCTTCTGTAAATTTGAAATTATTTCAAGATAAAAATCTAAAAAAAAAAAAAAAAAGAATAGATACAGTGCTTAGTAGGTACCAGGCACTTTGCATGGTTAATTTCTTTATTTAATCTTCACAAGCACCATTTGAGGATTCCTATTTTACAGATGAGGAAACTGAAACATAGAGAAGTTAGGTGACTTTCCAGAAGAGCACAGAGCCGGTAACTGGTAGCACTGGTACCTAAACTCAGGCAGTCTGATTCCAGAGTCCCCACCCTTAACCTCAGTCAGTGCTCAGTGGGGGCAATGGAAGTGTCTGTTAACTTTCTAGTTCACAAAGTGTTTTTGCAGCCATTGTCTCATTTGATCCTTTCAACCACCCCAGGAAGTACTTAAATCCCATCACCCCCTTTATGCTCATTAGAAACTTAGGACTCAGAAAGCTTAAGAAACTGGGTGCTCAGGGACTCCCCTGGTGGTCCAGTGGTTAAGACTCTCAACACAGGGGACCAGGGTTCGATCCCTGGTCGGGGAACTAGATCCCGCATGCCGCAACTAAAAGATCCCGTGTGCTGCAATGAAGATCCCGCAGGTGGCAATGATGATTCCGTGTGCCGCAACTAAGATCCAGAGCAGCCAAATAAATAAATATTAAAAAAAAGAAAAAAAGAAACTGGGTGCTAGCATGATGAGATGTTAACAGTTACCACCTCTGGTAGCCTTCATCAGTCAGACAGAACTCTGGGCTCTTTACATCATTACCTCCAACCCTCTCAATAATAACATATGAGAATGATTATAATTCCCATATTGTAGGTAAAGAAATTGAGGTGCAGGGGCTTCCCTGGTGGCGCAGTGGTTGAGAGTCCGCCTGCCGATGCAGGGGACATGGGTTCGTGCCCCGGTCCAGGAAGATCCCACGTGCCGCGGAGCGGCTGGGCCCGTGAGCCACGGCCGCTGAGCCTGCACGTCCGGAGCCTGTGCTCCGCAACGGGAGAGGCCACAGCAGTGAGAGGCCCGCGTACCGCAAAAAAAAAAAGAAAAAGAAATTGAGGTGCAAAGGCTAAATAATCCCCCCAAGATCACAAGCTCAATAAAATACAACCCAAAAAACCAAAACCAAGATTTAATTAATTAAATAAAAATAAGCCAATCAGAGCTAGGATTTGAACCCCATGCTGTCTTCTCATTTCAAATCCTTCACCTAAGCCCACCTTCCATGTTTCTCAAACCCCTAATAATGTCTAGGAGGGAAAACTAGCGGAGCCGCTATATGACCAGGAAGTAAATCAGCCTTCCTACCAATTTCATCTCTATCGAGGCCTACATGAAGGCGGTGCAGCAAAAAGGGCTGAAATCGAAAGACAGGAAAGGTCTTTTCCCAGCCGCCAAGTAGCTGCGTGACACTGGGACAGAAAGCACAGAATTCTTTCTGTTTTCTGGACTCAGGAGGAGAAGTCAACAAAGTAGAGACAGGGGACTGGCCTGCATGACCCTAATAATAATATTTAAAATAGTTAATACATGACAAGGGGGACTTCCCTGGTGGCGCAGTGGTTAAGAGTCCGCCTGCCAATGCAGGGGACATGGGTTCTATCCCTGGTCTGGGAAGCTCCCACATGCCGCGGAGCAACTAAGCCCGTGCACCACAACTACTGAGCCTGCGCTCTAGAGCCCACGAGCCACAACTACCGAGCCTGCGCTCTAGAGCCTGCAAGCCACAACTACTGAGCCTGCAAGCCACAACTACTGAGCCTGCGCTCTAGAGCCCACGAGCCACAACTACTGAGCCCACATGCCACAACTACTGAAGCCCGTGCTCCTAGAGCCCGTGCTCCGCAACAAGAGAAGCCACTGCAATGAGAAGCCCGTGCAACGCAACGAAGAGTAGCCCCCATCACCACAACTAGAGAAAGCCCACGCGCAGCAACAAAGACCCAATGCAGCCAAAAATAAATAAATAAATGCTTTAAAAAACAAAACAAAAAACATGAACAGGTATATTATACCAGACCCTTTGCTAAGTGCTAAGTATTCACATTAGGTTGAATCTTCACAATATCCAGACAATGGAGTTTGACAGAGCAGGGAATCTGGGCTCGAGGAGATTAAGTCACACAATTAGTAAGCAGTACCTGGGGTTTAAACACAGGCAGCCCAACCAGGACACTCCTGTCTCCAATAGGGTCAGACTCCTGCACCCACCTTGGGAGAGGTGATCTTGATGTAAACAATGATGGGGGCCAGTGAGGTCTTGGAGAGCTGGGCTGGGTGGTTGATGGTGTCGGCATCCAGAGCAACCAACTGAAGGGTCCGGGCTAGCTCGAAGATTCGCTCGATCTCGCTCTGAACCTCAGCTGGGGGAATGGAGTCATGGGGCAGGGGGAAATGTAAGGGGGCCTCCCAGGAGGCCGTGGGCAAATAGAGCATTTCTGGAGATGCCCCCCTCCCCCCCCCACATCTGGCCCCAGGGCAGGGGTACGGGTGGAGTTCAGGGGTGGGCTCACCCAGGCTGGAGCGTGTGTTTGAACGCTCAATGATGATGTGTTTGCTGGGGTTGTTGAGGACTGAGCGCTTAGCCAGGGAAATGTCCGCTGTCACACGAGTGATGGAGATCCTGGGGGATGGGACAAGAGGAGCCAGGGGTCAGGGTGGCCTAGAATGCCCTGCCTACTCCCCAGGCTCCAGGACAGCCTCTTACCCCTCAGTCCAAGAGTACCAGGATTGTCATGCAAGCCATCCTGCCCATCCCCAGCAGCAGAGAACCATGGTGGGAGTGGAGAGTCAGCTCCCAGGGTCTTACCTGCCATCAAACCGATGCTTCAAGAAGTCAAATAAAGCTTTCTGCATCATGTCTGTAACCTGAGGTTGGCGGGGTGGGGTGGGGGGAGGAGAAGTCAGGTGTTTAAAGACCCTCAGGGAAGGTGGACTGCTAGGTATTTGCCCCCTGACATTCCATTTTCTTCTTAAATCCCTGAGATGAGTAACTCCCTGTTGAGGGGAGGGGGCAGTCCTTTTGAGTCTGAGGGGCCTCCACTGGGGTCTCTGATTGCAAAGATCCTTTTAGGTGGGATCTCTGGGAGGACTTCTCTGGGGTTCTTTTGAGAGGACTAGACCCTTCTGGGGTCTCCCTGGGGGTTGGGCCCCCCATGGAGGGGGGTGTCTCTGAAGGTATGTAGCCCTCTGGGGAAAAACCCTGGGAGGGCCCTGCTGGGGGATCTCTCTGGGGTCTGAAGACCTTTCTATGGAGTCTTTCTGGAGGTCTGGGCCCCTCTGGGTCCACTCGCCTCTAGGGGCTCCTACCTCATAGCCCTTGAGCGACGGTCCCACCAGGATGATGGGCCTCATGGAAGGTACCACGTCATAGGGGGGCACATGCTCTGTCTGGGGGGGGAAGCAGGGAGGGGAAACCCCAGAGTGGAGATGGCATTAGCCCCTCTTCCCCCACCTCCAGGCTCCCCCATGCATCCTTTCCTCCCCCTGGTCCCAAAGTCCAGATGTGGGGCTCGGGGTGGGTATGGGGAGGTATGGCGAGGGAGAACCAGGAAGGGTTGGGGAAAAGGGGGGCAGATATGGGAATGGGTGTTAGAAAGTCCCCCTAGCTCATCCCAGGGGGTGGGGAGGGGGACACAGAAAGCTGTGATACTCACCAACTTCTGCTTCTGTTTGGCTGGGTCCAGAGATTGCCAAGAGGAGGGCGGGGGAGGAGAAAGGGGGAAGGTACCCAGGCAGGGGCAGAGGGCAAGGGAGGAGCCAGGACAAGAGAGGGAGGGAGAGCGGGCAGACGAGGAGAGATAACAAGGCATGCGTGTTAGTGACAGACAGAGCCAGAGAGAGGGGACGGGACCCCGTGCCAAGGGGGAGCCAGAGGTGGCCCTGGATCAGGGCTGGGCGCAGGACTGACAGCCAGTCCAGTGAACTTGGGAGTATTCAGACATCCTGCACCCCCTTTCTGGGTCTTGGAGAAGAGCTGGGAAGAGTGACAGCCTGTAGTTTGGTGCCCATCTCCTGGCCCCAGTGCGGGCCACACTGCCCATTTTAAGGGTAAGTTAACTGTCCTGCTCTGCAGCCAGGAGATCCCCGTGTGCCCACCCTAGCCCCATGGAGTCCGAAAAGGGCCAAGAAGGTCACCATTCCACTTTCCCCTTCACATGTGGGAGTGGGCGCAAACACAGCCTAACCCACTGGCAGTGAGGGGGGAAAGTCAGGTCTCATTACCCAGACCCTGCTTTCAGTTGAGGGGCGGGGGCAGCCTTCCAAGAGAAAGGGTGCTTCCACTGCAAGAACCATCCCTTCCGGGGAAGTGGGCAACGGTGGAGCTGTGTGTGGAGACAGACGTGCCCATTCTCGGTGTCATTCTACCCTTCCCTCCTCCTTGGCAGGAAAGCCTGATTCCCACAGAATCAGGCTGAGACCACATGGGAATCCATTCCAGCCCCCCTCCCCCGCCAAAGCACTGGGCTCTGACCTCCCCTATCACAAGAACGCAGCAAGAATTACCTTCTTGAAGAAGGGGATGCGCTTGCCGTGGGGTGGCGGGGTGGTGACACTGCTAACGCTAGTCTTGGCAGAGCCACTATGCTCACCGAGCTCTGCCTCCTCATCCTCTAACTCCAGGGGGTCTAGTTCAAAGGCTAAGTTAGTCATTTCATTACCTGGACCGGAGAGTCAGGATGAGGGAGGAAGGAGGCGAGGTGGGGAGGAGTGAGATGGACATGGAGACACAAGTACAAAACGCAGGGATGGGATGGGGAAAAAAGAAAGAAGAGGTGAATGGAACAGGGCTGGGAGAAATGAATGGGGGGTAGGGGGTAGGGCAGTCAGGCAGAGAGATGGAGCTACCAAAGAAATGGGAGAGTAGAGACGTGACAGAATGGGCCCTGATGGACTGGCCCAGCTTGTGGGGTGTCCTGCTCTTCATGGAGGGGGTACCACCGGAGGTGTCTGGAGGACTCAGGATTGGGGTACCCCCAAGTGCAGGGAAAGGAGGGGACAGGCAGTGGGGAGACCACCCCGCCCAGGAGCTCCACCCGACCCCGTGGGGTGGCGGCAGCTCTTACCACTGGCAGGGGGCGTGGGGCGGCGGGTGCCAGTCACCACGTCTCCCAGACTGGAGCTGGAGTTGTCACCTGATTTGCTGTGTGGGCAGAGAGGCAAATGGAGCCGTGAGCAAAGGAGGTGGGCGTGAGGGTGGGGGATTTGTTCTCTCACAGGCTGCCCCCCGTGCCCCGCCCTCATTTGCCAGCCCCACTGGTGATGCCACAGACAGTTTTGTGTCCTCAGGGCAATGCGTCAACCCTCAGGGCCTACTCCTGGCTGGCTGGCTGGCCTCTCCCAGAGGTGCCCTGGTCCCAGCCAAACACCTGGAGCTGAGGCGGTTCTGGCGCAGCTTCTGTTCCTGCAGCAGGCGCAGGCTGTCCAGTTTGACAGGGCTGGGGATGAAGCCAACCTCACAGCCCTCCTTCACCAGTCGCCCAATCCACCAGTCATTGTTGTATTTCTGCAAACGACAACAGCAGGTGAGGTGGGGGAGACCAAGAGGGAGATTAGAGGTACAAGCCAGTAGCCAGCTCCAGGGGACACCACCCCCAGACTTGCCTACCCCGCCCAGGGGGCAGCACCCTCAAACAGCCCTGGCACCAGCCTCTGATTACAGCCCCCAATTCTCAGGACTCTCCGGAACCAGCATCCTCTTGTGCCATGGACCACCCACACCCCCAAGCACATCCCTGTTCCGAGAGTCCTTCCTCCCCCATGTGCCAGCTCTACCCTGGAAAGGCAGGGAGAGAAGTAAATGCTGACACCTCCATGTGCCTGGCACACTGCCACCCCACTCACAGGCCTCATCACAAACCCTCCCAACAGCCTTGTGACCCAGGCATTACCATCCCATTTTACCAATGAAAAATGCAAAGCTCAGAGAGGTGGAAAGATTTGCCTAAGGTCACACAGCAGATTTAGCCCAGCTCTGCTTGGCTCAGAAGTCTTTTTCCACTAGAGGTCTGACAGCCCCTCTCCTGGCACCCACTATACCCTGCCCTCCCTCCAGATGCCAACACATCCTCCCCACCTCTTTGATGTGCAGGAAGTCCTTGGGCTCGAAGGTGATGGCCACTCCCTGAACAGGCACCTCATCCCCTAGAGATGGGTTGTAGCCGACATTTGTCCGCACAGCAAATGCCACTGGTTTGGTCTAGAGGAAGATGACAACCAGAGGGTTAAATCACAGTGGGATGTACAACTTCCTGACTGTGGTGGTGATTATGGAGAGGTTTGTTTTGTAAATTGTTTATTAAAACATATACTGTGCACCCTACTATACATAAGATAGATAAACAACAAGGACCTACTGTATAGGGCACAGGGAACTATATTCAAAATCTTGTAATAACCCGTAATGAAAAAGGATCTGAAAAAGAATATACACATAAAAAAAAAAAAGAATATACACATATATGTGTAACTGAATCACTTTGCTGTACACCTGAAACTACACAACGTTGTAAATAATCTATACTTCAAAAAAAACTTTTTTAATAAAAACATATACTGAATGGCTTATGCAGTTTTTTACTGCATATATTAAATTTCACAGTAAAAAAAAAAAAAGCAAACCATAGAACTCAGTCCTCTCAGGGTGGAGGGGGGCATCAGGGAATGCTAAGTATAGGCGGTGGGAGAGCCTAGAATAACACCAAGAAGGAATAATAATAACAGTAACAATAACAATAAGAACAAATAATAGTAATAATAATGATAGCAGCTACTGTGTAGTGTAACAGGTACTGTGTTATATGTTTCACACCCATTATCTCATTTATTTATTACAAAAACCCTATGAAGTTAAGTACTATTACCATATTCATTTTATGGGTTTTTTTTTTTTTTTTTTTTGCTGTGCCACGTGGCTTGTGGGATCATAGTTCCCCGACGACCAGGGATTGAACCCGGGGCCACGGCAGTGAAAGTGCTGAGTCCTGACCACTGGACCGCAGGGGAACTCCCACCATATTCATTTTAGTGAATGAGAAGACTAAAGTTCAGAAAGGTTAACTGACTTGCCTAATATCACACAGCTAATAAGAGCCCAGAAAATCTGACTCTAGAAATGAGTGGAAATGTTTAGCTCCTATTATGTGTAGAAATTAGGCACTTATTGTACTTTATAAGGAGGCAGGTATTACAGCTTACACTTTACAGGTGAAAGGCAGAGGCACATCAGAGGGGTACATGAGCTAGGAAGTGGCTAGGCCACGACTTGACCCTGGGTCTGTCCAGGCTGTCTCTGAGGCCTGGGGTAAGGGAAATAATGCCAGCACAGCCCTTCCCATCTTTCTCACCTTGGCTTTTTCGAGCTGGGCTAATGCCTGGCGCTCTGCCTCCTTCCTTAAGGCTTCTCGGTCCTCCTCCAGAGACACATCGGAGTCTGACGGACGGCTGGTATAGGACTCTGCTGATCCCTGAAAACAGACAGGGCCAGCTCAGGGCCAACGCTGCCTCCCCAGCTCCTGGGCCTCGGAAGGCACCCGTCATGCTTGCCTCAAGCCCCAGCCAGCCCAGCATGATACCACAAGGGCTAGGAGGAGGTGGTATTAGATGGGAAGAGCCAGAGAATGAGGTCTGCAGGCCCCTGGAAAGAGT